CCCTATGGCGGTTCAGCATTCCCCGAACCGATCCCGCTCCCGCCTCCAACAACTATGTTTAAAACATGAGTTTGCACTTTGTAGTTCGTAGTGCAGTACTTTATACTTGGAGTTTTGTACCACTGTGTAGCCCATGGGTGGAGATTTGGAGATCTGAAATTTATGAACTTGTGGAGTTTGACTTTATATATATATACATATAAAAAATTTTATTTTTGTTCCTCCTATTTAAAAAAATAAAATGGATTTTTCTAAATTTCTTATATTTTCCTTTTCTTTCATATTTTCTCTATTTCTTCCTTTTTTTGTTGCATTTTTCATTTTCTCTACCGTGTGATTGGTCCCACCGTGAACCGGGGGCGAACCAACCGATCTAACAATTCAACCACCACTTTGGTTCTGATTACATTAATTCTCACCATTCTCTACTCCTCATGCTAAGCCCTTACAATGCTCTCATTACTTGCATGCTATTTATGCTCTTTCAGTGATTCAAAAAGCAGACCGACCAGTACCTAAGCGGTCCAGAAGGACGGCGTGCATCGCCCAGGCCTAGGTGGCCAATCTAGGCGGCAGTCCCTAGGCGGTATAGAACCCGCCTAGGCAAGTGCCCAGCGCCCAGCCCAGGGCGGCCGCCCAGAGCCTACGCCTCATCTAGGCGGTACAAAACCTGCCTAGGAGGGCGCCGCCCAGAGGCAGAAATTTTTTTATTTTTGTATTGATTTTTTTAAAAATATAAAGGGTTAGAAGGATGGTTTTAAGTTCATTTGAAACCTAATTCTTATTGGAACCCATTTTAGAGAGAGAAAGCCTCCAAAAAACTAGTTTTTGGTGATTTCTTTAGGATCGAAGGGTTTCTCAAAGTTGACAAAAATTTATCAAAACATCACCCATTAATATTAGATTTAAATTTTGATGTTTTATAAATCGATTGGGGGTTTTTTTAGAAGATTTTGAGTCCTTAGAAGCATCTTTGAGGTGGAAGTTTGAAGATTGAGCAATCAAACTCAAAGTAAGTGCCCTAACTACCTTTTTTTTTTTTATACTATATATCTTTTTTTTTATTCAAATGGGCATCCCTTTTGGATTTGACTGGGCCGTCCACGTTCTGGGTGCCCTCCTGGGCACCCGCCTAGTGCTTTTTAAAGCACACTGCTCTTTACACCTATGCATAGGGATCACCTTTTGCTAAACTACTTTTTGTTTCCACAACTTCGTAAATTGTTTTCATGATTACTTTTTTTATTTTGAAAGATAGTAGTACTATCATAGATGATAAAGGGGTATACACTACTGTCTAAAAAAGTGGGCCACTTAGGGTTGAGGCGGCCACCACACCTAGCCTTGGGGACTATGGCACCCTACCTAGGCCTGGGCGGGTGTACCTTGGGCTGCCACATAGGCAAGCCAAGCAGCACTGGGGCTAGAGCCTAGCGCCTAGCCTAGGCACCCACCTGGGCATTTCCATTGCCTAAGGGTGGAAAATACCCTCGGGCAAGGAGCAGTTTGGTCCTTTACCCTCTAAAGGGGGCAAGGGGTTGGGTTGGGGGGAGGAGGGGAGGAGTTTTACAAAAAAAAATGAGGCACCCCATAAGAAGGCGTCAGCGCATACAAGAACCCCAGAGGGGCCAACAAATGCTATATAGCAGTTAATAAAGAAAGCAGTGGCAAGAAGGATGAGAGTATAGAGCACAAAAAAGCCTAGGGTCCCGACGATGGATTTGAAAGGGCTCCTTCCCTAGCTAAAGAGTGTTACTTTAGGAGGGTCTCACCGTGGTTTTCCAATCATCACGATGGACATAAACTCCCAAACACAGAACCTAAAAACAAGGGATCTAGAAACACTAGAGGAGCTCGCTTTCTTCGAAGTGTTAAACGCCCCTGTCTCGATAAAATTCTGAGATGCATAAGGGTCCCGGCCAGTACACTCCTAGGATACAGCCAGATAGAAAAATAATTCCTGAGTCTCTGAGTTGCACACTCATGGGACCCGTACAAAACCACAGCTACAAAATACTGATGTCTTTCCAACTGGTATGATACTATAAATATCAATTGGAAATAAACATCTATCTCACTACAAAATCATCATCCAATCGGTATACTGCATTAAAACATCGATTGAAAAAAAATGAAGCACATACACGATCATCCCACGCCAAAATAAATCATTAAATGTAACAGAACATGTTACCTGAAATTTACGCGAGGCTAGTGCTTTATTATCTCTAACTAGAGAGAGAAAATGAGCTTTATAAGAGATAGAAAGCTCACTATATCCATAAAAACCACACACCTTACTTCCCATGAGCTCCATGTTTTCTCTAAGCCTCCCCTTTCTCATCCGTACCTATCATTCCTCTCCTCTCTTTCTCTCTCATCCCAAAAGCCTAATAGATGGGAAATAATATATTTTATTATGACACATGACAAATGTCAAGATGAGGATGCACATGAGGGGAGGAGCAAGTGGAAAGAGTGAGGTGCCATGTGTATAAGCACGTGGTTGGTGCTGCGGTCATGGGACCATTGCGAGACTAATGAAATGGATGGTGCTGCGGTCATGGACCCACCGGGTGACATTGAAGTCCCCTCCTAAACAGCAGGTAGAAGGCCAACATAGGCCATAGATTGGAGTTCGACCCAGAAAGAGGGCCTGTGACAACAGACACTCCGAATAAAAGGCAAGTATGGAGGAGTGTTTAGTGTAGAGATCGTGAACGGAGCTTCTCTTGTGCAACGACCTAAGGCCTCGGAGGTTTTTGTTTAGTAAGAGAGGTGTTTCCGTTTCGAAGAGCGCCTAGGTTGTTGTTTGCCAGAAATAGACTTGTCGGCAATAGGGTTGGGGTTGGTATCCTCTAACGGTTCCATGTTGTAGTTAAGTCCTAACGCGAGGTTGGTAAGCTTGCGTTTGCCCTTGATCTTGGCTTTGCCTTGAGGCATTGCTCCTGCAGCTATGAACTCCTCCAGAATCTCTTTGGGCCATTAAATGTAAACCCCATCACCTTGAGGACTTCATGTATGTCTCCTTGGGCTAGATCCATGTTGAGGATGAAATCAGAATCCACAGAAGAGTGAAACCCTGACAAAGGGCTTTCTGAGGAGTCCCGAGAGAGTTCTCCCAAGACAGGGATGGGCTATAGTTACGAAACAGGATGGGGTTCTGAGGGCCAACGGGACCTCAGATGGAGGGCCATCCTTAAGGGGTAAAGGGGGGAGAGGGGAGAAGAGGGGAAGGTATGGGCTGATAAGGACCAAGGTGCGGATGGGGAGGAGGGGAGAACATTGGCGAGGGAGTGGCAGAGGAGGAGACATGTAGTGGGAGGGAGAGAGAGCAGAGAATGCCTATTGAGGGCTGATAGGGCTTTCGCGTCTCACAATCGCAGGGATAACAAATGCTTCACAAACAATCCAAGTTGTGAGATAGCACAGGTACTAAGGACAGCTCATCATTCGTGCTACACCAGACATTGGTTATTGTGTCCCATGACCTTCAGATGAATGAATATGGAAGCAAAAGTATGCCAAGATTAATTGAGTCATCAATATTTTTAAGGAATATATATTGTTCCTTGACTACTTGACGTAGTAAGAAACAGAATAAACTGCCTAACTATATTGATGAGAAGGATTCTCATGGTTTCAGTGAGCATCTACAGGATAAGTTACATAGCATCTCCACCATGAAGTAGAATGATGACTTGTGCAGATTGCTGACTTGTGTACCGACGTATTGAATGTAGATAAACGTAAGTGCTCAATAAATAAACTAACTTTCGTCTCATTAAATGAAACAATTTAAATCTAGTTGGATGATCCAATTTGAAGAGGAGGGTCCAGTATTGTTGTTGCACACTTGATTTTATCATACTCAAGAGGCATTGAAGCTGTTGCTAATGGCACATGCCCAATAGGTGCATCTTTGTCATTTTAAGCATAAAACCTCAACTTGCTATGGTTAATGAACAGAATTTTCTAACCAAGGACATAAAAAATTACAGGAATACAATCACAGCTTTCACCTTAACAATGACTGCATCCAGAAAATGATCCTTCCGTCCCCTACTTACAATGAACTGGTTCTGCACTGGTCAAAAAATCTAATGAACTGGTTCTGCTACTTCCTTGAGGAGAGAATTTATTATCAAGGGTTATTTACTGGAAACATCCAACACTGCAACACCACAATTAAAGGCCTAAGAAGCCCCACCAAATACATTCAAATGTCTTTGTGTTGACTGGTAGGGCAGTAATTCTGCTGGCACTCTTACATTCCCTTTACTGTAGGTCTAACAATAAGCCTCTATTATTCACTCTCCAAATGCTTATCAGAGATTGGTAATTGGTATCAGTGACAGATTGCTATATCAACAATTTATCCTATGGAATACAAACATCCTGCAACTTCCACAAATGACCATCTCATTTTCACTACTTCAAACTCAATACTTGCGTAGTCATTCGCGAATAAATAAATAAAATACCGAAATCCCAAACTACAACTACTGAACTACCTGTTCTAAGTATTCAAGAACCACAAAGCTGAAACACTCAAAAACACAAAGTGGCATTAAATAACATTCTAAAAGCTCAAAAGACCACCTCTTTATGTAATACAATTTAAGTCCACAAATGGACTAAAAATGGGAAGTGTATCTCAGTTCAACAGACTATGGTGGATTGTACACCAAGGCTACATCCACCACCATTCCTATAAAGGCATACAGGTGGAGATTAACCAACCCAGAGAAAGTGAATGTAACCATAGAGTACCATCCATTCTCATTAAGGTATATAGCTGGAGATTAACCAACTGGTGACATGCGAATGTGACCATATAGTACCACATATACCATACTCCTCTACTTATATGCTTTGCATTATAAAAGTAGCTTCTAGACAAATAGCCATAATCCAATTAAAAACAGTAATTAAGAAAATAGACAAAAAGAGAAAGAAACACATCCAATTGATGACTAAGATTTACGAAAAATGCTTACCAGTCAAAAACCCAATCATTTGGATTCGCATTGAGAAGACTGAAGCTTAAAACAACAGACCCATCAGCTGCAATAGGCATGAACTCACCTTTCCCTTTACTAAACAACCCCTCTCCAATACCACCATTCATAAAGAAATTCACAAATAACTGTGCCGCCAAAGAAACAGCATCTCCCTCTGAAATTTTCCCGTAAATCCATGCATGCCTATGCTTACCTATAACAGTCCTGTAAGAATTCTCCATTTCCCTATTAACCACCACGACCCTATAAGCATTACCTCTATATTTCAAAAGACCACCATTCCTCTGCAAAAATGACTCGATATATTCATCAAAAGCAGCATCACTGGCGAGAATTTGCTCCAACTCTGATAAATCGAGAGATCCACAGGGCCAAGAAACCTCATTTTCCAGTGCCCCACTTTGAAAACATCCTGAAATATAATCAACTGTGACTGAAACTGAATAATTATCACCACAACCACCACAAACCCGATCTGAACCGGATATATGTTGCATCTTTTGGAACATTAAAAACTCCAGCTCCTGTGCAAAACCCATATTCTGATTTTCTTGACCAAATCCGAGGAAGACGGTGTGGAAATGGCAAGGGAAAAGCAATGGGTTCATTGAAAGGTGGTTGTCAAGAGACTCAATTGATTTGAACGGGAGAGGAGCTCTGTAAATGGCCCTGGATTTTAGAAAGAACGGTGCCCCTGTAATGGAAAAACAACAATGGTGATCATAAACCCATGATTTTGAGAAGGAACAAACTCATAAAAAGAGAGGAGTGAGAGAAAATTGTACCTATGATGAAAGAGAAGAATACATAGAGAGTGAGGAGGAGTCTTTTGGAACCAGGTAAGGTGGTTCTGCTGCAAATGTCTGGTTCCTGTTGCTGCTGCTTCATGTTTTCAGCCATGGCGGCTTTGAGAGAGTGTGCGTTCAATGCGCTTGGCGCTTTTCATTGAATCGATAAATAAGCGAAGATGTCCTATGTGAGAAAATGACCAAATGGTCCCCAAACACCATGCGGTGATTATGTAAGACGGGCCTGTGACTCTGAAGGCCCGGGAATGACCGTAAAGCTGATGGGCCTGGCCCTGCCCTGGCCCCAAGGACTTTATGAACGCCACAGACGCTGCTATGGGGGGCTTGAGCTTTTTGAGACCCACTGGGCCGCACCTGCACAATTCCACCCTGTTAAACTGAAAATCATATAATCAAGGCCAGACGGGCCTCACAAAAAGGAAATCTTCAATCCCTGCCTGGCTGTAGAGCTAATATGCCTCATGATCAGGCATGGTCAGACCCGATGGTCCTACAAACGGCCTAAACCCAACCCATATAAGGCTAGGCCTTTGAGGTTAGGGTTAGGCCTTAGAGGTCCTTCAGGCTGGCTCAACCCATTTATATCTCTATACAGTAGCCTAGTGCTACGATGAGGTTTGCCCAAGCCCTGCCTTAGCTCAAATTGGTCTGGGCTAGCTTTACAGGTAACTAGATGGCCCTAGCCCGAACCAACTTGGTCCTATACATGTAATAAATTTCTTAGTGTGAATGTCCTTGTAGGACCATACCACCATCATAAACTCAATTAATGACAGCCTTTTATTGTATAAATAGAATTTTCTCCTCCACTATTACCTATAGAATAGAAAATTCTCCTTATGAATTCTTAACCAATAAGGTTGCTAACAAATTAATACATGATTATGACTAAATTCTACTTATTTAGAATTTTTTAAAATAGAAAAAAATGTCAACATTTAACTTTTTCCAACTCTTATATAATTCTTTCTTAATTCTTAATTTTTTATTTTGAAAATTTTTCTTAGACAACATAATAATACAGCTGCTTGATAAAAACATATTTATTTGGGTATATATATTAAAAGGAAGTTAAATTATGAAGTTACTTTAATTTTTTTAGATAGTTAGAAAAGAAGACAAATTTATCAGAAAATACACCTAGCATACCAACCATTTTAAATTTTACCCATTTTCAACTGTTCTAACTCATGAAGATGTGTATTTTGATGGGCTTTTTAAAATTAAATGAAACAAACTATTAAAATGTTAAATAGTGTATCTCTTACATCATATTGATAAATTTACCTAGATCACATAGTCTATATATATTTCTTTTGATCGTTAACGGTAATTTCATTGAGAGAATGGATCACATAGTCTATATAGGTTGGGTTGGACCAAGCTAGGTTGGACCCCTTCACCTGGCCTAAGCCCAACCCATTATGGTCTGATGGCCTCCTGCATAGGCCTAACCCTCGAGCCAAAATTAATTACGAGGGCCAAGATCATTTAGATCCAAATCCAAGGCAAGAGGATCCAAGAGCTCCTCCACCGCTGATGTGCGTCTAGTTTTTGAAATTGAGATAAGCAGAAAAATGAGTTTCGTCAAAAAAATCAACCCATGTTGCTTGCCTCATGCCCATGTACCACCAACTATAGTTTGCTAAAACTGAAATTAAAGAAAAAGGGAGGTCCAAATAAACTTTTATGAATGTGAAATCTCTCACTTTTTACAAAAATTAGAGGAAAATGGACAAAACAACAAGGAAAAGAACCCGAGCTTAATTGGTTTTAGCGCTTAATGATTTGCAACGCTACGTCCTAAGTTCAATTCCTACCAGGGTAGGGGCCCTCACCCCACTGACTCACCCAAAAAAAAAAAACAACAGGCAAACAAAAAAAATACAGAACCCAAAGTACAGAAGACTAAGAAGCAAGCATACGTGGCCAATTTTCGTATAGGTCCTTAGAGATTGTGGCCATTACATCTCCCTTTTGAAAAATAGTGTATGATGCATGTATGATGCACCATGGCATGGACGCACAAAGTACCTTAATCGATTGTTTTGTAGGAAAGTATTGTTATGGACAAAATATTCAAGTCATACATCAAAATCAAGGGATTTTAAATTGTTCAATTGGTTATGATATCCTCAATTATTCAAAACTAAAATTGGGCCCAATTTGTATAGGTTTTGAAGGAGTTGTAGTATTTGGAATCTAAAGGATTGATATTAGGGTTCACAGACATCAGATTAGCATACAAAGTGTTTTACTAATTATGGTATGTCTCTTGAACATGGTCTTTTACCTTATGATGTGTTGCAGAATTTTAGATCTACGAGATCTAATATGGGTGACTACGGTCAAGGTGGGCTTGACCCTTTATTGGATAGTTATGGCGGTGAGGGCGTTGAGGGCTTTGATGCTCGATATGCTCCTGGTGATCAAAATATGGTTAGGGGGTTTACTGAGAACGAGGGCCATGATTTTAGTGGCCCTTGTTTTCTTTCTTATATGGATGTTACTACTATTTCGAACTCAGTTGTAAAGAGTGATTCTTATGGAGTATGTGATTCTAAGGATGTCATACCATGTGATCAAATTTTGAGAGATCATAATCTTAGCAATCATCAATTTCTGGTGGCCTCTCTGATGTGGTTCAATCTGGGGATCGCGGTTGTGGAAGAGTTTCATCTTCTTTGAATGGACAAGGGGTTTCAAAAGATGGATATCAACGTGCTCAATCCCTTAGTCTTGGTCACTCTACTGCAATTAATATTGTCAAGGGTGTTGTTGATGCAGAAGTTCTTTCAAGTGGCAATGGCAGCAACAGATAAGTTGTCGATTGAGTGATTGTCATTGGTGGCTCGAATGCTGCCAAGACAATGGATGGTATGGCTGTTAAAGACAAGGAGGCGGTCACTTTTGAGGGAAGTAATACCATCCAAGGATCTAGTTCTGGTTCTCTTGGTTTAGATGGTTTAATGGAGGAGTTTCCCTCATTAAGTTCAGACTTGAAGAACAACCATTAATAGCAACTGTTGGGGCTTGGACAGATCAACGGATCTCCTTTTTGGTGTTAAGGGCATTCAGAACGGAGTTTTCTACTTCGATGATTTGGAGGTTAAACCTCCTAAGACCATTAATGGAATATGTTATGTTGAGATTGAAAAAGATATGGTTGATTCATGTTTGGGGAAATGGAGTAAGTGTTGACTAGGTTATATCTTGGGTCGCATACCCGAGTGGAATTATATGAAGGGCATGTTACAGAAAATGTGGAGATTAAAACATGACTTAGAGGTTTTTTACTCTTTCCATTTCATTTTAACGAGGAAATGGAGGTGGCTCGTAGTGGTGGGCCCTAGTTCGTGAATAAAAAATGCCTAGTCCTCCAGGAATGGGATTCTGCGGTTAAACCTTCTAGGCAAACATGACAAACTATCCAAGTGTGGGTCAAACTTCCGGGTTTGCCATTGATGTTTTGGGAATCGAGAATCTTATTTCAAATTCATCTAGTGTAGGAAAACCCATTTCATCAACAAACCCCGCTCAAGAGTTGAACCAAGAGTGTGTATTGCAATGGATTTATAGAACATCTGTCCAAATGAGGTTTGGTTTGATATTAACGACCAAGAGTATCGACAATAAATTATATATGAATTTATCCCATCAACATGCTCTAAATGTCGGAAGGTGGGGCATAAGCCTGAACTTTCTCGCTCGAGCTTTATTCAAAATGTTCCATCAATGCCGAAGACTATAGTAGAACAGAATAATGTTTCTCAAATATGGTTGGCTTCAGGGGAGGAAGGTCGGAAAGTCGTAAAGAGACGACATCAATTACTATACAAGAAGAAAGACTTAGGCAAAATTTAAAATGGTTTTAGCACCTTAATGACTATTTCAGAGGATGTTCATCTGTTGTATACTCAGCAATCTGATGGCATTCATGATCACACATCTGGTGATCATGGGAGTCAATCTGGAACTCATCAACAACATAATGAACGGAGTGAGAAAGTTATGGAACCAGTGGTTTCCTCTCAATAGGAAATCAATATGGAGGAATCTCTTCATTCCACAATTATGATGACTGCAAAAGAGCCTTCTGCTGGAGACTATTGCCCCTCTCTTGTTCTTCCATTTGCGAATACAATTATCACATCTCGTGACAATATGGTGGATGAGCAAGTGGCTATTATTGCACAAAGTTGAGAAGGAGATGAAACTGCTCAGAAGCAATCAGATGAAGCTCTTAAGGCAGCCCAACAATAGGTTATTGGTAAACAAACTCTTGACAATGATTCTTTGTTAGGAGCTACAGGTGTTGTGGTTGCACGAAATCGAGATGGAGATGGTATTGTGGGGAAGCAATCTGATGAGGTTGTTAAGGTAGCCCAACAACAGTTTATTGGTAAAATGATGATTCTTCTGCTGATGTCCAAGATCAGCTATGTGTTGACGTTGCTAAGGACAGGGTGGTGGTGCCTAAAGATTATGATGGAGAAGATCATGCTGATGTTGTTACTATTGAGGATGACTTTGATGATGGATTAGAGGACACAATGATTGTTGATTGTGAATAGTTAACTACAGCTGGACGAGAGCAGTTAATTGAGTATAATGACGGTTCTGGTCCTGATAATAAAGTTAAGAAGGGGTACAAACCAAGCTACTGCAAAGAACACGGTACCTTTGGCATTTTTTGACAGTAGGAAAGCGGGCTCTCGAAAGATTTAAGGAACCCCTAAGGTAACCCATCGGCGAGTAAAGGTAAGCCACCCTCTGGCAAGCTTCCTATTCTATGTCTATGATAGCTTGGAACGTACGTGGCAGACGAGGCCATGGTAGGGTTTCTGATATTAGCCTTCTTAAAAACTAGAATAATTTAGGGATATTATTTATTCTAGAAACAAAATTGCCAATGGATTTAACAAGTGTCTGGTCACGAAAATTGGGGTTTTACAATAACTTCGTTGCTAATAATTTTAATGGTAGATCTAAACTTATTCTATTATCGAATCCTTCTATTTACTCTATCAATGTGATTACTATTAATGACCAGATGATTACTATTGAGGATACTAGGTTATGTAATGGTAAAATATGTGTGATATCTGAGGTATATGCTTTTAACTTGGTGT